GCCATGGATAAACTTTGATAGGATCAATGGCATCTACACTGTATAGCATCAAACGTGGCTGAGATGTTTGACTTACGCTTTGTCTGTTGTCTCTACCTAAAATCATCTGACTGATGTGGCCCAGCAAGTATTTGTAACTAGCCTAAAAATCTGTTGCCAAAGATGATGTTCAAGATTTACTGTTTTTGGGAACCAGCAGTTAGTGTAATGGCTATGTCACTGGACTCCCACGTAGTTGACCGCAGTTCGCGTCCCGGACCCGGTGGCTTAAAACTCACGCCGGGCGCGTGTGCGTGCGTGCCCAAGATCCCGAGAGGAAAATGGAGGGGAAGGGATTGAGGCGTGACCATCCCCCCTGGGGGGTGATTTCTCGCTTTCTGTCTCTATGTCTCTGTCTGTCTGGCGAGTGCACGTGCCCTATAGCAAAAACCTCTCCAAAAAAAAAAAAAAAATTTACTTTTTTTTTCCTTAAAGGACCCGGTGGCTTAAAACTCACGCCGGGCACGTGTGCGTGCGTGCCCAAGATCCCGAGAGGAAAATGGAGGGGAAGGGATTGAGGCGTGACCATCACCCCTGGGGGGGTGATTTCTCGCTTTCTGTCTCTATGTCTCTGTCTGTCTGGCGAGCGCACGCGCCCTATAGCAAAAACCTCTCCAAAAAAAAAAAAAAAGATTTACTGTTTTTTTCCTTAAAGTAAGATAGGGTAGCCCTTAAGTTAACTATAACATCTTACTTTAGTAAGTATCTTGTACATACTTACAACATAGCTTGAGATATGCTACAGTTGCCATTTTAAGATAGGTGCAACAATTTTGGCCTGTTGTAGAAGGTTTCTTTCTTGATCGTTCATGAGTATTTACCAAAATCACTCTCATATGCTGCCAGGTGATATGAATAGGTACCAATTCTTACTGGATTTTATGGTGATGGACTCTAACCTGAACACTGTGGTAGGGAAACCTTGATCCTGCAAGTAGAGAACAGGTATACTTCTTTAAAGCCTGACAAAGAATTGGATTTGAAGTAATGTGCAGATATTATGAAGTGTTTTTGTGTTTTTCTGACGTCATTGTCAAGAGCTATCTGCTTAGTTTATGTTACGAACGAAATAGTGTTTACCTTAGAAGCTACTGTTTTCATTTCTATTAGATAAAGTAGCCTTTTATCATGCCATTAGAAAGATCTTGGTTGGCCTGACAGGCACCAGCTGGAACACTGTGCCATTAATACCAGATGAGGCAGCTCCACAGCATGTTCCAAGAAATTCCCAGAAATCCTGGGACAGAAGTTGCAATGCTCTGTTGGTTTCTTTTGTGAAATGAAAAAATCTCTTAAGTTTTAACCGGAAAGAAAACTCACACATTTATCAAGAGTAAAAGGCATCTTACAGAAAACGTTTTGTTCCTACAAATTATCGGAATTTTAGAGATTTTTCTTCTGTCGAGGGACCTCTTCTGTTAACCTCCATTCACCGGGAAGGCACTACAGCCTGTGTACCTGGGAGGCAGATTCTGTCAGTGCCTGGCGCGGCCCTGAGCAGCAGAGGTCCTGGGCCACGGGGCACTTGCCCGCTAAAGTGCATCCATACATTTACATTCTAGAAAATGGCCTCACAATGTCTTGAATAGAATCTCTATTTGTCACCAGAAAATATGTCAGGAGATACAAAGTGAAAATAAGAAAGGAATGTGGAAGCTTCGGCGGTCCAACTCCTTCTGGTCAATTATTCAAGGTAGCCGAAGTTACTGATGTTTCTAACAGTACTAACTGAAAGGAAGCAACAAGGAACCTAAAGCCTGACCATCGCGGTCCTTTGGCACTATACCAAGAGACACATTTCTCTGGGTTTTAGTACACCGGGACCATACTAGATCTGGTAAGGGAGGGAAAACTTAGGTTAATCCCAAGAGCTCTTTAAAAGAGAACTTTCTTAGTACACTTTCTTAGTACCGCAGCCAAAGTTAAAATCTATTAACTATCATATGCCTGCACATTTTTATATAAGGAAGCATTCTGTTTTATGAAGTCGGAGCAGTGGTTCTCGGTCAGGACTGCGTAACTGAAATCCCTGGGGGAGGGTGCAGAAGGAAGCTTTTAGACCATCAATACCTAGGCCCCATCAACCAATTTTATCAGATTCTCTGTGGGTGGCACCTGGCCTTTTTCTTTTTTCCCTTGAGATGAAGTTTACAGTGACACACACGAGTCTTCAGTGTGCCATTTGAGGAATAGACAAGAGCATGCAGCAGTGTAACCCAATCTCATCAAGATAAAGGAAGCTCCCTCTTGTCCTTGGGTCAATAAATCTCCACTCTCATCCCCTTCTCCCCAAAATATTGTTCTGATTATTTTTCATTATACATAAATTTTGCCTGTTATAGAACTTCATATACACAGACATTTCCAGATAACTCTTAGTTCGGAAAAAAAAAATTAAAAATGATACCAAAAAATCAGATGTTCATCCTCTTGTATACCATTTAGTTTTGTGAAGTTAGGGCCCTCAGCGTGAGTTCCATGCGTTGTCTTCCCCCACATAAAAGCTGCTGCGCGTGATTACCCCGAATTAGCAGCTCATTTACAATGCTTAGACAAAAGCAAAGTGTGTGTGAGTGTGTAATATCTATAATTTGTGAAGATTCTCTGTTGAAAGATAGTAGAAACTGAATACAGATCCTTATTTAAACTGGGTAATTACCTCAACAAGTTTCTACACAAGTTACCAAAACGCAGCTCAAGTAGGGCTTTCCCATACTGTTTCTTTCTATGTTTTTTTCAAGGAAAGAATAATCAAGTTGGGATGTTTTGGTTATAGCGATATTAATTATGATTCTAGCAATACATCATTTTTGGCTTTTGGAAATGTAAGATTGTTATTAATCTAAGTTTCTACGAGCAAGAGAGGTTAGATTTAAACTAACAAAGAACTTCATAGGGTATGTTCAGAGCACAGAAAGGAAAAAAACAAGCATGCGTGTACCAGCTGTGGGCACCACAGTCTTGGGGCAACACACAGGGTGGGCTTGTGCTGGATGCAGGGAGGCCAGTCAGTGGCGCTCAGGGACCCTGCTCCGCCGTCCCCACCCAGTGTCTGCAGACAGCCTGGAAGGTCCTGAGAAAACGCTGTGCCTACCGGGTTCAGCTGACAACGGGATGGGTACAGTCTTTAGTGAACATTCATGTTACATTTCAGCATTACAAAAAGTGCATATTATCTCTGAAAAATATAATCCATTATGTACTATCTGCGACCCACTCATGAGAATTAGCTCAATTTAGCCATTCTACAATGTGTACATATTTCAAAACATCAGATTGTACACCGTATATCTAATTTTTTGTCAACTAAAAAAAAAAAAAATGCTAACCCATTCCACCACCAAAACTAACTTGCTAACTAGGGTTCAATGTTGGTTTAAAGTTCTGTTAGTCTCTAAGCAGTACATGTGACCAGAGTCTGTGCTCACAGATGACTTGTTCATTTTCCCCTTCATATGGCTGTGTTAGTCACTTGAAACTCAGTTAAGCTTATTTGTTCCCATTTGAGAAAAGGAAAGGAGAGGAGAAGAGAGGAGAGGAGAGGAGAGAAAAGAGAAGAAAAGAAAAGAAAAGAGAAAAGAAAAGGGAGGGAGGTTGCTTGCTCAAGCTATGTTAGCCTCTTTCAAAGATTATTAACCTGTGGTTCAGGAATTTTCATTGCATTTTGATCTTCCTACCTGTCCCAGTGGTGCTCAGTCTTGGCCATGTATCACATCCACCTGAGGAATTAACGAGTGATTTAACAGATACAGATCACAGGCCCTAACTCTAGAAATTCCGACCCAAATGCTCAGAGGTGAAGCTCAGTTGCATTGTATAAAGTTCCATCCATGTCTCTGGTACGTGGCCAGGATTAGGAAGAACTGCTCTAGAACTAGTGTAAGTTTAGAAACTGTGCACATCGGCCATAATGCTGAGTGAGCAAGAAGCACTGACCCTGTCTCATGCATTGCTAAAGAATCCAGGTGAGAGGCAGGGGTGGAAGAAAGATAGCACCTAAGCATTAAGTATGTGAAATGACATTTCTAGTTAATCCAATGTTTTTCCACTTTGTATTCAAATAGTTATGTTATATATATATATAATCAGTTCTCTAGCTAAAAATGTGCAGTTACAGAAATGTTTGCTCTTTTCTGTACTATATTTAGCATATTACAATGACTTCCTGTGTATAAAGTTCTTTCAGGAGGAATTTTATCACTGGGCAGAGACTCATAATCAAGTGGCCTGAAAAAGTTGAAGCACTGAAATAGTAATTAACTCTGCGCAGTTCTTAGCAGTGTGATCTGACCCCACTCAGGTGCCCAGTATTTTGCCTTGTTCCCCTCAGGTTGTTGTAAGGAAAAATATTTGTTCTCATTTCCTAGCTGTCTAGAAATGACACAAATGGTAGAAAATCTACATTCTTTCTTTATGTGAAGTTACATTTTCTGAGAGATAAATTGAAATGCCTAATTAGTTTGTAGCCCAGACTGAAAAAATTGGAATGATTACTGAATAGAATCATAACTCTGTAAAATAAATGTTCGTGTGCAGCTGCATTCGATGTAATATTTGAAACAAAGAATCATATTATGTTGAAATTCAGCATTGTTCATTTCAGATCTTCTCAATAGTACTTTAGCCATTGATTTTGATTTTTTTTTCTTTTTGGTAAAAGAGGTGATTCTTCATTTCTTTTCATCTGAAAATTGAAGTTTTAAAATGCCAAGAAAAGTGTAAACTCCTTAAAAGTATTAAGTCAAGTACAAAATTTTTTTTTCAATTCTTACTTTGTTACATGTTTTTGTTATGAAAATATCAAACATTTCTCTTTATCAAATATGCTGGAAATAGTGCATCGTTTAATTCAGCCAATACACACTCTAAACCTTTATATGTAAGTCTTTTATGTGAATACAGACATAGTAATGATCAGATTTTATATTTAGCCTCTTCTTCTTTTTTTTTTTTTCTAACAGAGCATCAAGAAGAAGAATACAAACAAACAGGAGATGGGCACATACCTGAGATTCATCGTCTCCCGCATGAAGGAGAGGGTGAGTCGTGCTCAGGAAATTTTTCGGAATCCCCCAAAACATACTTTACTCTGGTTCGTTCTTCCAAAGCTAGTGACTGACCACGCGTAGAGCAACGCGAAGCGTGGGCCCCACTGCCATCTTGTCTCTTTCCTGGACTGCCTAGTGCTGTAATAGACTGTTAGATATTTTTGTTTTGTCTTTAAACAGGCCTTTTACTTTTTGTTAGCTGCATTAGATTTGAAGTGTATTTACATTTTTTTTAAATTTTATTTACCAGAATGAATATACTATTGATGATGACTTTTAAAACAAATGGAATTTTCCAAAATAGTTGTTTTTCTATCAAAACCATAAGGAATTGCACATTAAACTATGTAGTGCGTGTTTATGTGTGTGTATATATTTATTTCTGTTACATTTTAAAAGTACTTCTTGAAAGCTTTCTCTTTAAAGGTAGAAACTATTTTGAGTTTTAGAAATTGATCTTTTTACCTGTCTTTCTCTAGCCACATTTAAAATTGCCGTATCTAACAACCTTTTAGGCTATAGATCTTAATAAAAAGGGGAAGGACAATAAACATCCGATGTACAGGAGGCTGGTACATTCAGCTGTTGACGTTCCCACCATACAAGAGGTAAAGTTGGTTCCTTTTATTTCCACTTCAAATACATTTCTTAACTGTCACGTTAAAGAATAATTTAGGAGTTAAGCAATGATTCTGGTTGCTTGTCTTTCCTTGAGAGGACACTTTCTTTGCTCTTACTAAAGTGACAAAAAGAAGCATAACTACTAAGTGAAGCCTTATTACTCACTGTAAATCCATAGACTCACTCTGATGCAGAGTAAATGTCATCTTTTAAAAAGCCTGGTTTTAAGCAGCCTATAGCCTCTTGGTACTTGTAGATGAAAGAAAAGGACGTGTAGCCTGGACAGTGTAATATTTTAGACGTGAAAAGCTCATTCCTGGGGATGTTCTTCTGGTTTAGCAGCAGCGCTCAGGTGTTTTCCTCAGGAAAAATCAGGGCACAGAACAGACCTAGGGTCTTGAACAAAATAAAGACAACAACTAGAAACCTTACCTACTATAGCTGAGGATTGTTGATGCGGTCAATATTCAATTACAAACTGCAACCAAGTCCAGTAGAACACAGAGACATGTTTCCAGTCAGACTTGCTGAATGAGTAGTTCTGTACCTCATGTGCCATGTTGGAAATTTTAAATCTTACAATCGGCCATGATAGCCGATAAGATCATAGGAATAATTTAAAATCATCTTACATTTCCCAATCCCCTAGATGTTGAAAAAGACTATGGCTATATTATTTCAATCTAAGATAAGGGTCAATGAAGGCTTAAAGTGCCCTTAAAGTGGCTATAAAACCCTAGCACAAAAAATAGGGTTTTGTTTGTTTTTGTTTTTAGGTTTTTGGTACAGGGTGTATGCGCTCACCAGAGAGACAGAGAGAGAAGGGGGAAAATGAGAAATCACCCCCCCAGAAAGGGATGGCCATGCTACAGCCCCTTCTCCTCCACTCTCCTGAGATTTTTGGACATGCATATACACGCACCCAGCATGAATTTCAAGCTAACGAGTCCTGGACTTGAACCACGGTCAGCCATATGAAGGCCCAGCACTTTAACCACCATGGTACCTGCTGATGCTGCAAAAATAAGTAGTCTTAATTTTATGTCCTATGCCCTGATTTCACTGCCCCCGGGCATAGCCCTTTCCTAAACTGTAAAGCCTCTAAAGAACACTTACTAATTCAGCCACTATTTCATACCCAATCCTGCTGTCCTCTTCCAGGAAGGTTTCTCAGAGTCTCCCAATCTGACCCATATAGAGCTGGTTTAACATTACCTGGGTCAGTGGTGTCTTGGTCTTGTGCTTAGTACTGACTCTCAAAAAAAAAAAAAAAAAAAGTACTGTGAAGAAAATTAATAGAAAGACATTTTATTGTTTTTAGGACCTTATATTCCAGACTAAAATACAGCTGCAGTTAAGTCCAAAATGCAAGTACTCTGCAAGTGCTGGGGGTTGTTGTTGTCTACCTTGGTATACCTCACATCACCTGGGTGAGTCCTGGACATACCAATGCCCAAGTTCACCCTGGAGCGACATAGTCAGAAATTCAGGGTGGGGGCTGGCCCTATAGGGCAGCAGTTGAGCTCAGTGTATGGAGAGCAGGGTCCTTTGTGGCTGACTGTGGTTCAGATCCCAGTCCCATTGGCTTAAAAGACATGCCTAGCACATGTACATGCATGCCTCCAATCCTGACAGGATAAAGAAATGGAGGAGGAGGGTCATGGCATGACCATGACCTGTTGATCGGCGCTTTCTCTCTGGCGAGTTCACATATCCTCTGGCAATTAGAAAGAAAAGGAAATTCGGAGATGGAACTCAGACGTCGGTGTTTTAAAATAACCTATGTTACTACAGAAGCTATAGAGGAAGCAGGTCTTCAACTGAGGGAATCTAGGAAGTCTTTGTAGAAGCAGCAGCGATTGAATTGGGTCTTGGAGGATTTAAACAGAAAGGAAATTGCATGAGCAAAGTAGAGGTAGGGAGGGGTGTTTTGTTGTTGTTGTTTTTGTTTTTAGGAGGAGAGAGAGATTTTTGATAGGGTCTCACCATGCTGTAATCCTCCTGCCTCAGCCTCCCAGTTAGCGAGGATTATAGGCACGTACCATCACAGCCACAATGTTGAGGTCAACCTAGGATCTGAATCTGGGCCTTCCCTGTGGCTCCAGCATCGTGCATTGGTGCCACACCACCTGTGCTACTGCAGTAGGACCGTGGTTTCCAAAGTGTCCTTTACAGGCCTTAGCATTCCAAGTCATTGTCAGGCCACTGTCCTAAATCTATCACACGGGTAATTCTGTTGTACGATACTTACAAAAGCTTTGTTCACCTCATTTCAAGGGGGAAAAAAACTATCAGATTTCCTCTGCAATCTTTCTAACCGAAGACTAAAGCTACTGAGAATCCAGTGAAGGGAATCCTTTATATATGTCACTCTAGTGGAGGAGAAACCCAGAGTACATAGAGGAACCTGAGACTAACATTTTTTATAGTTGGTGCCTAGGCTCGGTTCCGAATTATAAGCCCATCTTAGCAGTTGTGATGAGCTACCCAAAAGGCTAACAGCACTACTATCCATTCTCCATTGTCCCATGTTACGGAGAATGACAGTTACGTAGTTGGGGTCTCATAAACCACTCTGAACAAAGCATTTATTATTTACAAACTTAAGCAGCAACTTTCATCATTATTGCAGAATGAGAAGTTCAAGCTGTAAAGTTCCCTGTGGTCAGTTAAGACAGAGTACATGGTGGCTAAAAGATATCTGAGGTGCCATGCTTAATTAAACTGTAATATTAAAATGACAAGTAGAATCATTGGTTTCTTTTACCTGTGTTCTCTGTCGGTACTGAGGGACAGATAGATCATCCTGAAAAGATTTTGCTGTGCCCCTTACTCTAGTCCTGTGAACATAGTCCAGACATGTTTTCACTGGTCATGCTTTTGCCGTTTTCTTTTTTCCCCCTGCAGAAAGTGAACGAAGGCAAATACCGAAGTTACGAGGAGTTCAAGGCTGATGCTCAGCTGCTTCTCCACAACACAGTGATTTTCTATGGAGGTTGAATATTTTTTTTTTATTTCCTTGTGCGCACTTTTTAAAATGTCATTTACATTCCTTGTTAAGAAATAGCTTTATTAAACATTACATCAAAAAAATTAATACTGTTTTAGTCTGTACGTAATCATTTCAGAGTTTAAACTTAAGAATATTTGTTGATATAGTTATAATTTATAGAATTGGCCAGCCAGAGGCAAAACTATAGTACACTAAATGATGAAATACAATTATTCTTTATCATTTTATCTATATTTTTGTCTTAGCCGAGAGGCTTTGTATAAGCACTTGATTAATTCTGATTATTTCCCCATTAAAACCCCTTTATTCAAAGGTAAGCGGCTACTCTGTAGCTAGATAATTACTCGTTGTGTTGGATATAAAATAAAAGCTGCCTATAGAATATAATTTTGCTACCTGAACTCTTGTTAAAACGTTAATTTTGGTTTGAAATGGTTTAGGTCCACTTTTGCCAAACTGAAAGAAAATAACTGTTAATTCGATAGTCTTTTGTATGCAGATTATTGGTTATAGGTAACATCTATCTTTAATTACAGCAGACAGTGAGCAAGCTGACATTGCGAGGATGCTTTACAAAGACACATGTCATGAGGTACTGTCCATGCCCGTAATTAAACAGAACAAATGATAGAAGGAGTCATTGTGCCGGCCATTCAGAAAACCCCGAGAGTTAGATTTAGTTACTAAGTAACTTCTGAAAGGGGACTTTCAACTACCCTTAAGGGCTATTGTATTAGATAGTGCCTATGAATGTGTTGTGTTGGGCAGATACTTAATGATTGTTACCTTCTTCGAATGAAGGATTTAAATTCAAGTCCTGACTAAGACTATGTAGGAAAGTAAAAACAAAAACCATAATCGAACAACAAAGTTCATAGTATTTAATAAATAAAATACCTATTTAAGCAATATATTTTTTCTATGGTCTTTCTTATTTGAAACACTCACCTGTACCTATATTATCTTCCCAAAAGTTTCTCATTTTATAGAAAAGTTTAATTTCTTCAATTCATTTCAAATTTGACTTTTTAAAAAATGCGTTCAAAAAATATTTATTGAGTGCCTACTATGTGCCAGGCAATGTGCTAGGAGGAATAAAATGTTGTTGAAGGTACAGGCATCTGCTCAGTGTTGTGTTACATACAGGGAGACTAGAAAAAAGGAAAAAACTCAAGGGACTAAAATCAGGAATGAGGCAGAGGGAGACCTGTTGGGAGACCAATAGGTAGTGGATATTTCATATGACCAGGAGGACCTTCCTGAAGAATTACTGAGTGAGAGCTGACCAAGCAGATGGGAGCAGGTCAGAGTCAGGCCAGCCCCGACCTTGGAAGTAACCTGTCTTCTATTCTCGTGCCATTGGAGACATAGAGATTGTTCTCACTGCAAAGAGGCAGGGTCTCCCAATATTATTTACTGAAATTTTGAAAAATTTAAGCCTAAAAGATTATAAGAAGTACAAAGTTCAAGACCTTATATATATATGAACAAAAATGTTCATTTACATGAAAATATTTTATATAGTTTAACATGTCTATTTTAGGCAAGCTAAAATAGTTGCTTTTCTTTTTCAGTTGGATGAACTTCAGCTTTGCAAGAATTGCTTCTATTTGTCCAATGCTCGTCCTGACAATTGGTTCTGCTATCCCTGTGTATGTGTGACTTTGTGACTTCCGTTTTTGTTATTTCTTCAGTCTGTAATGCACTGCTTTAAGGAGGTTTATCTACAAATTGCTTAGAGATTATGTTCCTTGTAAAATATTTTTCTTTGATAGCATACATAGTTTTTATGAGTATAAACAACTGAAACATGGGGAAAATAACTGAGATCGTTATCCATTTCTGATATTAAAATGAAGTACTTCGTAGAATAAATACGGGTACCTTAGTCGATGATACAGTGATTTTTATTTTTTCTCTCATTCTTTCACAAGAGACTCAGTGCTTTGCACATATCTCTAGCTGTACAGTTTCCTGCAGAATGACATGCTTTCCAGAAGGGCCTGACAGGGAGCCGCTGAGTGTTCTCAGTTGGCCACAGTGCTGATGGCCTCAGAGGCCCCCTGAGGGAAGGCTCTCTGAGACATTACAGTGCTCCTCAGTCACTCGGGGAAGCTCGCTTCGATGAAGAGGTCTGATTGAGCAGGTTTGTGTAGGGTCTAAATTTCTCCCATTTCGAAGAAATTCCCAGGTGATGCTGATGCTCTGGCCTTGTGGACTGTTCTCTATGAAGTAAAGTTAGGGTAAAGTTAGCTGCTGTGTTGTCCACATGGCCCTGGGCTTCGAGGACGGCCTCTTTCCAATTCCTGCCTCTTCTGAGAAGTAAGGTCTATTGCTACTCTTATGCAAATGGGAATTCTTTGGTGTTTTTCTTGAAGATACATCAGTCCCTGAAAAAAATGTGTGTGTTTAGGAGATACAGAAGAAGTATTTTCAGAATAATAGATTATAGTTGACTAAGTAGTTCAATATTAATGATATACTTCCATTTAGTAATTTAAGAGTACTGTGACAAGGTTAAAACATTTTACTTCCAGATACCGAATCATGAGCTTGTTTGGGCTAAAATGAAAGGCTTCGGATTCTGGCCAGCCAAAGTCATGCAGAAGGAGGACAATCAAGTTGATGTTCGCTTCTTTGGCCACCACCACCAGAGGTAATTCCCAAACCTAGTGCTGCGATCATAACTGCTTCCAAGGTGTCCTTAAGAAAGTCTGGTGATGTCTCCATTGGAGATTGCATGAAGTCTCTTTAAAATTGAAAACAACTCAGGGAGCCAGCAGGTAGCATGGCGGTTGAAGGTGCTGGACTCCTACATGGCTGTCCGTGGTTCAAGTCCCAGAGCTGGTGACTTGCTTTCTCACTCCACTCCTACCCCCCGTCTCTCTCTGATCAATAGATCAAACTGGAAAATAATAAAATAATAAATAATAAATAAAATAATTCTTAAAAAAATCAGTATATGGCTATACAGCTGACAATGATCTCTTATGAATTAAATTTCTAGATATTTTTCATAAATCATTTACTGAACAGGTAAAGGCCATTTTTTTTTTTTTTTTTTTTTTTTTTTTTTTTTTTTTTTTAGGTAGAAAAGAAGATTTAATAGGAAAGAAAGGAAAGTATACCCAAAAGGCTCTTGAGTGGGCAGATTGCCAGGTGGCAACCCGCCCTGAACAGGACATTTTCAATAGCTGATGCCATTGAACCTCAGAGAGATATTAGTGCTGAGACCGAATTCATAATGCAGTGGAGTGGGAGGGTCCACAGTGTGCATCATTTTAAAGTGTTGTAATGATATTACATAGTGTTGTAATGATTTGTTTCCACTCTTTAAAACCATAAATGAATCAATCTTGTGATTTAATAATGAGTGAGTTTTTTTTGTTTTGTTTTGTTTTGTTTTTTGCTTTTGCTTTCTTTCTTTCTTCTTCAGATTTTTGCTATAGGGCACATGTGCTCACCAAAGAGAGACAAGGAGAAGGAAAGTAACAAGTCACCCCCCAGGGAAGATGGCCACATCACAGTCCCTTCTCCTCTTGGGATTTTGGGCATCTGTGCACACACTCCCAGCACGATTTTTTTTTCTTTCTTTTTTTTTTAAATTAATTAATTTATTTGTTGTAATTATCAAGCCACCATGTCTGGATCTTTAACTATGGTGGGCCATGTGGGAGTCTGGCACCTTAACCACCATGCACCTGCTGGCCAAAGAATGTGTTTAAGTACCTTAAGTGTACATAAGAATTACATGCATATAACTATAAGACATTGCTTCTGATGTAGATTTTTAAGTTTATTATTTATTTCATGAGAGAGAGAAAAAGACAGGCATAGTCTCTCACCACCACCCTTCCACACCTTCCCAGCCAGGCTCAGACTCATGTGTGCACTCAGCATTTACCAGCGGACCCAGGAATGAGACTGCCGATCTCCCACATGGCTTCAGCATTGTGCAGCAGTGCACAGCTGCTCTGCCGCTGTGGCTGGGCCTATTCATTAGCTCTTTTCGACAAAATTGTAAGTTCCTTAAAGGCAGAGGTGATATATGACATGCTATCCTAGTAGTTAGGAGACCTGAGACCGCTCAGGATCCTGGCCATTAATTAATAATCTACCTTAATCCCTCTTGGACACTATCTCCTCCAGCTCTGAACTGAGGCAGTAAAACTGAAGATCAAATAGACCCCATTCGTTTCTGGTTTTTTTTTTTTTTTTTAAGACAGGGTCTTGCCATATCACAATCATCCTGCCTTAGCCTCCACGTCACATCGACTGTGCCTGGCTCCATTCATAGTCTCCGTAGTGACTCAGGTGCTATACCGTTAACATTTGGTGAATTGGTGCAGCATCCTAGAAGAGCTTAAATTCAGCCAAGAGGCTAATGCCCAGGACATTTTTCTTGAATTTTTAGCATTTTTTCAATAGAACTAAATGGGGTTCTAGTTTTAGAGCTATACCACGCATAACACAGAGGCACTTAAAGTTGTGTTAATCACTAAGTCTGTTGTTGCTAAGTAGTAGAAGCGCTCCTCCATTTGTTAAGGTAGTTTAATAGATAGAGAATATTACAAGTATGGCTAACTGGGTCATTTTTTTAGATGCCCTCATTTTTTTAATGGATACATGTGTATATCTTGAAAATGCCTGGGAATTCCAAATGATGCTGTAGTGCTTATTTATAAGTAGCTAGATGGGTCCTATTAGCTTATGGTAGCTAAACCAAGAGGAAATATTTTCAAAAGGACTCAGGATGATCATAAACATGAACTATGACAAGCTAGCCTGATAAAAGAAATAGTGGACAATTCGGAGGTATTTGTGAATCACTTCAATTTTGAGAACTTGGCTTTCATGATTCTGGAAATAAAACAAACTCACCTCCCCTATTGTCTACTTGGTAAGAAGAAGAGTTGTTCCAGCCATAACTAGCAGCCTTACTAGATTAGAGTTGCCACAAATTATACTTTATCATGGGCAGAGTCACCAATTGCTCTCAACACCTGTCCTGCCATTTTGGATATTTCTAACTTATAAATGCTTTTCCTAGGGCCTGGATTCCTTCTGAGAACATTCAAGACATCACCGTCAACATTCACCGGCTACATGTCAAGCGCAGCATGGGCTGGAAAAAGGCCTGTGATGAGCTGGAGCTGCATCAGCGTTTCCTTCGTGAAGGTCGATTTTGGAAGTCCAAGAATGAGGACCGAGGTGAGGAAGAGGCAGAATCCAGTATCTCCTCTACCAGCAATGAGCAGGTGAGTTGTGCCACAGTAAGGAACTACCTGTTACTTATTCATTTGAATGTGAAAACCTTAGCGTACACTCCTCACTGTAATGAACAGATTTTGACATTTTTCCTTCCCTTTCATACAAACATTTGCACAGTGCTCTGCATGAGCAAACCAAAACCAATCGAAGGAAACAAGTAGATAGAACATCAATATCCATAAGCCTGACCACCCCACCCCAGGGCAATAGAGTTCAATATGGCGCCCCCTCTATAGGCACATCAGCTCTTCCAGGCCATCAGCTACCCGATCTCCAAGTGAGTGGGTGGTAACCGAGGGGATGGAGGGAGCTAATGCAAAGGGAGTAATCTCCCACTTCTCCCTGTGGGTCTACTACGAGCATTTTCAACAGAGAAGTGTGTCCTAGTGTCTGGAATAATGTGATATTACTTTTATGATGCCCACAGCTGAAGGTCACTCAAGAACCAAGAGCAAAGAAAGGACGACGTAATCAAAGTGTGGAGCCCAAAAAGGAAGTAAGTTGCCCACCTCGCAGTGTCCAGGTGGCAATTGAAACAGGAAATTCGTTCAGAGTATGGTCAGAACAGTCGCTCCTGGTTGGGTACTTGTGAAACTCAGTGGCCATCCATCAGATAACCTCCCTCAAGTCTGCACCTGTCTCCTGGCTTCCCTGTCATTACCCACTGCACTAGTGTAGCACACACATGCTCTAAGTCTCCCTCCTAATTAAGCAACCGCTGGCCCGAGTTTGGCCCAGTGGGAAGGGCACATTGCTACATTTTCTGGGAATACTGATTTTTTTCTTAATAGCATTTTTTAAAACTAAGCATTTATTCCACTAAATCAATTACATCAACATGTATAAGCTGGAGAATACTATGGTTAATTTCAGCTTCTTAAAATGGTAGCAGCCACACATGTTTTAAAAGCCATATAAATCTGGACACATTTCAAACACATATTCAGTGAGAAGTGGTTTAGGATTTTAAGAAATTTATTAATGAATCTAGTCCAAAGAAGTGATTTTAAGTTCATGATGATCTTATACTCTTTATGATAAATTGTTTTGTTCAGTCTATTTTAAAAGCAAAACTCACTATATTCTTATGTAATAAAAGTATACATAAAGTTTCTCTTTAAATTATAGCTGTTAATTGCATGATTTTTTTCATTCTTTTTTTGAGTTTACTTACTTTCAGTGATGGTAAAATTTACATAACAAAATCTACCATCTTAATTGTATATATTTAACAGCAGTTTATCAAATGGCTACTTATATATACATCACTGTGTTTTTATCCTCATAGAGATGTTCTTTGACTAGCAAATTATATTGCTGCTTGGTATCTAACCACCTTCTTACCCTTTAGGAACCCGAACCTGAAACTGAAGCAGTAAGCTCTAGCCAGGAAATCCCCACAATGCCTCAGCCAGTTGAAAAAGTTTCTGTGTCAACTCAGACCAAGAAGTTAAGTGCCTCTTCCCCAAGAATGCTGCATCGGAGCACCCAGACCACGAGCGACGGGGTGTGTCAGAGCATGTGCCACGACAAGTACACCAAAATCTTCAACGACTTCAAAGACCGGATGAAGTCTGACCACAAGCGCGAGACTGAGCGAGTCGTGCGGGAAGCTCTTGAGAAGGTAAAGCGTTGCTTCTGAAACAGGGCTTCCTCGTCTCACTCAGCTGCTTTTACTCGTGCATTAAGCAGGCAGCAGTTCTGTCAAACTAGAAATATAACACACTAGTATCTTGTATAGCATTTCAATTAATAATGGTAGTTTTCCTGCTTAATGAAATTGAAAAGGTGTCTCACTTAAGCGGGAATGTGCGTGAAGCTTGTCGGTGTAGGCGGTCCGTGTGAATCTTGATCTGATGTGCTGGCGGTTGCTCTCTTTTCATTCAGCTGCGTTCTGAAATGGAAGAAGAAAAAAGACAAGCTGTAAATAAAGCTGTAGCCAATATGCAGGGTGAAATGGACAGGAAATGTAAGCAAGTAAAGGAGAAGTGTAAAGAAGAATTTGTAGAAGAAATCAAGAAGCTAGCAACACAGCACAAACAGCTAATTTCTCAGACCAAGAAGAAGCAGTGGGTAAATATCAGTTTTGTTTTTTTTTTTTAGAATCTTATTTCTAAGAATTAATTCAGAAAAGTATATATGACATATGCAAAAATTATTCCTGAAATTAGATCAGCAGTAAAACTGCCAACTTTAATTTTTTTTAATTATTTTATTGTACTTTATTTATTTACTTATTTTTTAATTTGACCAGAGAGAGGAAAAGTGAGAGAAAGTGAGAAAGTAAGCCACCAGGTCCAGGACTCGAACCACAGTCAGCCACTGTGGGAGTCCAGTGGCTCTAAACACACCACTTGCTGGCCCACCGCTTTAATTATAAAAATTTTATTACAAGTTCTATAATCTTTCAACCCCAGATACCACATTACCAAATACTACTCAAGATAATTTTCATTAAATTGAGATTATATTAACTAACATTAGTATAACTAGTTTATGTAACTTCTCTATTCCACATATTTTACTTGGGTGAACTGGCCAGCCTTGACTTTCACATAGTATCTAATAGCTAACTGTCCCAATTAAGACACCGTAAATGCTAGGTATCACAGTACCGACCACACCTCTCTGGAGCAGAGGCTTCTGACCACACCAGACTCCACAACACCCAGGTATTGTTCCCAACAGCGTAAAAACTTGGTTCAATTTTAGTGAATTACTATATTTCAAAACTTTCCCTGAAAGTGAACATCTTAAAAAGATAGTGATAAAGATTTGGCAAGAAGGAAAGGAAATCTTAGCGTATAATTTAGAAGAATATATGAAAATCACTTGGTGGGAAAAACTGGAAAATAATGAAATAAATATCACTAGATGGGAATTCAGGTGCACTTAAGGTGAAACGGAAGCAGGACACCCAAAGACCGTGTCTATAAAAAGTGTAACTTCATGCAGGGACAAGGAAAAGCTAGAAAGTAGACAGTAGATTTATGGAAAGAAAATGGGAAGATAATTATAATACTGCTTTTTATAGCACTTTATGATTTGGGAAGTAGCTGGAGTCAGTATTTTTATGACCTTTAAGAGGAGGAATTGGAGGTTGATATTAAACAGAGCTATTACAAACCTGGTTGGTAGAGCTAGGACTGCAAATCCTAAGCTTTTCCTCCTTATCACGTTGTTTCTAGCAGACTGGCAAGGAGAAGTATTTATCATTTTATCTTAGGCTATTGTAAGAAATAGAGAAGTGTTTGGGACCAGCAGTTAGCGTAAGGCTATGTTGCTGGACTCCCATGTAGTCGACGGCGGTTCGAGTCCTGGACCCAGTGGCTTAAACTCACGCTGGGCACGTGTGCGTGCGTGCCCAAGATCCCAAAAGGAAAATGAAGGAGAAAGGATTGAGGCGTGGCCATCCCTTCTGGGGGGGCGATTTCTCGTTTTCTGTCTCTCTCTGTCTTTCTGGTGAGCACACACGCCCTATAGCAAAAACCTCTCCCCCAAAACAGAAAAGAAATAAAGGAGTGTTAAAGGACGGAAGCATGTATGTATTCCAGAAATTTTTTAAAAAACGGGTTTCTTTTCTTTTTTAAAAAAGGTTTTTGCTATAGGGCTTGTGTGTTCACCAGAAAGACAGAGACAGAAAGTGAGAAATCACCCTCTGGGGAGATGGCCACGCCACAACCCCTTCTCCTCTGTTCTTATCTCGGGATCTTGGGCACGCACACACGTGCACCCAGCGTGAGTTTAAGCCACCAGATCCGGGACTCGAACCATGGTCAACTACATGGGAGCTCAGCGACATAGCCATTATGCCAACAGCTAGTCCCCCCAAAATGGATTTCAGGTTGAAGCAGAACCATGAGAAACACAGGAGGGAGCTGACAGCCCTTACATATATTATAAACAAAGGGAGAAAACAAATGAATTAGCATGGTGCTTGGGAGACAGGAGAAGGGATGATGCTGTTTAAAGTACTATTTAAAGACAAGGAAACTAAAACAGAAATGAATTAAATTTGATCTAAAGTCACATGATCGATTGGTGGCACAGGCCCAAGATTCCTCACCCAAGCTGTGTCTAAAATGCTCTCCACACTTTTCTAACAGTAATTGTGCTGAAGTTGCAAGTGTCTACATAAGATGATAAAGTCCTCAAAAGATTAATAAAAGTATAAACTATACAATCATGAAGAAAATTAGAACGCAGTGTTTTTAGGTACTAAATATAGGCTATTCTCTCTGGGCCTTCTTTTAAGGACTCTATGTCTAAGCTCTCAAAACACAGGTGTCCGTACGTGTCTAAAGGACATGCATGACCCGCTGACCCACCGTCAAGTGTTTAAATCCCAAACTCAGTCTCTCATCTTCCTTACTGTTACCTATTCCTCCTTACCGAGGGTATCTACCATCTACCGATACTACCATCATTTTACCAACCAGGCTGGAAAATTTAGTATTTACGTTTTTTACCATTTTCTTCTCCAGTGTCCAGACAGTCCAGATTCAGTACTGTGGGTATTTGGAGCAGAACCTTCTCAGGGGAGGGGGCACTTAGCAGCACCCCAGCCCTCTACCTGCCGATAAGCACCTTCCCATTCAAAGTAATTGTAACCAAAAATATGTGCAGACGCTGCAAAATAAGATGCACACTGAGACTCGACCACTAGATTTGAGGTGCCAAGTGACCTTGATAATGCCATGTTCTGTGGACTGGTAAGAGTCAAAGGCTGCAGCAGGTGTAAGAAAGAAGAAGAAAATTAGAACTAGCAAGTTTAGGCAGTTCTCTCGAGGGGTTTGTGAGGACAGCCAAGAGATGGAGGTGGTAGCTGGAAAAACCATGGGAAGTCAAGAAGGTTATGATGTAGAATCGGTGTTTGCGTGTGGATGGCAATGACCCTGTAGAGATGAAAACATGCCAGCGCAGTGTCAGGCGAGCCAGCATTTGCCGACGGCCAGCTCGGCTGTGGCCTCAGTCCTCACCATTGTTCCGTCCACCTGCTGCTCAGTGTACAGAGTTCTTCAGCTCCCATTTCCCAGCCATACTAGTTCAGGGGAGCCAGAAAGAGCGCGGGAAGCTCGCCCTTAGGCCTCCGCTTGTAGCCAGTCTCTTGCAGGCTCAGCCCCCAGTCTTGCCCGATGCTCATGACTGCTTGCTTGCAGTGCTACAACTGTGAGGAGGAGGCCATGTACCACTGCTGCTGGAACACCTCCTACTGCTCCATCAAGTGCCAGCAGGAGCACTGGCACGCCGAGCACAAGCGCACCTGCCGCCGGAAGAGATGAAGCCGGCCCTTGCGGAGTCTCCCGTGATTGCTCTTCTCAGACACAGCGGTTTTTGTTTCCAAGAAGCCAAAATTGTTTAGAATTTGCTTCCCATTTTGCACCAGCCTTTAAACACTTTTCGTGAAGAAATTTTGCACAGTAGTTTAAATCTTTTGTTAATGCTCCTCCGGAGTTTTTCAGGGGGTAAAAGTAACATCAGTGGAGGGTATTATTTTAAATGAATTTTAATTGAGAATTTGTTGCATTTTCAGCAAATTTTAAAACATTTTTAGGTTTTACAGAGATTTTAACCTTTAAACAACAGATCTTTAAAAAAAAAAAACAACAGGTGAATACAGTAAGTTTAACAAAGAAACATTTAGAATAGATCTGAATGTAAGAACCACAGAACTGTTTCAGAAGTAAAACATACTACCTTGACGTGACATTTATTTCTTAACCTTGTTGAGCTGGTTTTGTTCAGCTTAATTTACTGTTCAAAGGCATTATCTGTTGGGTTATGCCAGTGGGTATTGATTGAATTTAGGGAACAGGGTTGACACAGCAGGGCTAGTCCTGCGTATTTTTTCTTAAATATTTCCCAATTGTGTTTTTCATTATTTCTTTTCAATATATAACTTTTATAACAAATTATTAGCTTTGATCTTGTAGTTTAAAATTGCAGGGAACTGGGGTAATCTTTTACTGAGCTGGATCTTAGAGAAAATGAATATTTAAATTTTAAAGTTTGCACATTTCATCTTTGTCCTAACATGAGTGCTTGTAACAAAATAAACAACAATAAGAAAAGCCAAAAACTACCTTTCTCCATATGTGAAATTATTGACAAGGCATACAAATTTCTTTAATGCTTCCCTTCCCTCCCCAAATATCATCTAACTGCCTATTATCTGGTGTCACCTCGTGTGTTGTAAGTTAATACTAAAAGGAAAGAAAGCACTTAAGTTTCACAGAAGCCGTTATGTTTGTAGTAATGGATCATTGCCTACTAATGAACTCCATCACTGTACACAGAATGAAGAATAATGCATGTTAATTTTCTTGTATTAAAGATGCCGTGATTTGTAAAAAGTCTGTATTTTGCGGAATGTCTGGATTAAGAAGCATTACCAATAGGAATGGATCGATAGTTGAATAATGATTTTTTTATACATAGATATATAAAATACAGTCAGGAAGACTTAATTTACTTTTCTTTAAAAGTATCTCACAATTTATGTTTTTTTCTCAAAGACTGATCTTAGACCAAGTCAAATTTCCTTTTATCATTTAGTTTTTCTGGGTTTTTTTGAGGTTAGAGAAATAATTTGTAAATATTTATTTAGACCTTTGATATTTATTAAAGCAATTACTCACAATGGAAGTGAAAGAATCAGGAGAAAAGCCTTTTAAAAAGTTTTCTCCAGGTTTGTCAGGGTCACTCTAAAGATAAAAATGTGACGAAGTCTTCTGTGAAATATCATCCATCCGATCTTGATGCTGTTGCAGATGGTGGTGACACAACTAATTGACAAACTACTGCCAAATGGTGCACAATATTTTGTAGAATCCTACCCAATAGCCCCGTTCATACAACGTACCTGAATTATGCAGCAACTTGGCACCACGATCCCGCCTCGTTGCTGTGTAATTATTCAATGTTGCCGCGGTGCCGTGGCGCTGACAGAGACGTCATAACCAAGAACACTTCACCTCCTTTGATTGTTTTCAGATTTTCAAACTTCGATCCACCCCTATGAGAGCAAGTCATTGTGGAAATATTTTTGGTGTAAAATCATTCCAGAGTATGTAATATTTAACTGATAGCTGCATGAAAGTGAGATTCGTGTTACTTTGGCTTTTTTGTCTCTGTTGACACGGTTGCACATTTTCCAAGTTACTACAGCGTGAAAAACTGTGTGTTTAAAAAAAAAAAAAAAACAAAATTAAAAAAAGAGATTGTGGCCTGGTTTTGTAAAAGTTTTAGGTAAAATTACAATTGATTGTTTTAGGAATCATTATTAAAAATTTTCTGCAAATCATAAAGCTATATCAAGGTGTTGAGCTTAGCCACTATGCACATTGTAATTACTCATTGTGGCTGTCCAGTTCTATGATGCATTCTGGCATTTTGTAAGCTGCTCTGACTAGCAATATATAGATTCATTTAATGTGTTAACATTGGTTAATAAATGTATTTAAAAAAAACCTGGCTTTAATATATCATTCATGTAATCCAGTCCTGTTACCAACCCAACCAACTCTAGCTAAATACTGGTCATAGACTGGGTTATTCACCGGTGACTAACAGGCGCTGACAGAGACGTCATAACCAAGAACACTTCACCTCCTTTGATTGTTTTCAGATTTTCAAACTTCGATCCACCCCTATGAGAGCAAGTCATTGTGGAAATATTTTTGGTGTAAAATCATTCCAGAGTATGTAATATTTAACTGATAGCTGCATGAAAGTGAGATTCGTGTTACTTTGGCTTTTTTGTCTCTGTTGACACGGTTGCACATTTTCCAAGTTACTACAGCGTGAAAAACTGTGTGTTTAAAAAAAAAAAAAAACAAAATTAAAAAAAGAGATTGTGGCCTGGTTTTGTAAAAGTTTTAGGTAAAATTACAATTGATTGTTTTAGGAATCATTATTAAAAATTTTCTGCAAATCATAAAGCTATATCAAGGTGTTGAGCTTAGCCACTATGCACATTGTAATTACTCATTGTGGCTGTCCAGTTCTATGATGCATTCTGGCATTTTGTAAGCTGCTCTGACTAGCAATATATAGATTCATTTAATGTGTTAACATTGGTTAATAAATGTATTTAAAAAAAACCTGGCTTTAATATATCATTCATGTAATCCAGTCCTGTTACCAACCCAACCAACTCTAGCTAAATACTGGTCATAGACTGGGTTATTCACCGGTGACTAACATACAGAATCAGTGTTACACATAAAGGTATTCACTTCAGCATTTACACTGAATTTACTTTCACTAGCTCCTCCCCCAATCAATAGTTTTAAAAGGAGAGGATGATTATTACATATCAAATACATATTAGTCTTAAAAGCAGTCATACGTTCAGAACTGGCCAGAGTCTTCATGGGAAGGCAGCCGAGGCTCATTTCTGCTATTTTCATTTACCTGTTCGTCAAGTAGAGTGATGCATCAGCCCACCCTGTTCCAGGTGTAACACCAGCATCAGCCCACCCAAAACTAGGTTTCAGACCCGGGTGTGTTTGATTTGCACAACCCACTTCATTAATACTTAGGCTAGGCTGAATAGACAAGTAGAAAAGTATTCCATCAACAGTTGCAATTAGTGTCATCAGCTTCAGTACTCTAGAATGAAATCGTCAGCCGTCCCTGCCCTGTTCCGCTTTTCTAGCCAGTTCAAATGATGCCACTCTCAGTGCAGGCCAACACCCAGACCAGCGCATTCTGCAGTCAGTGGCTGCGCCCTTTTCTTGGTCTTCAGTCTCTAAGTAGTTCTCGAACTTTGGGCAGCAGGGTCACCCGGAGTGCTTATTAAAACATTGCTAGGGTGGGTCCAGCAGATGGCATAATGGCTATGTCGCTGAACTCCCATGTAGTCGACCCCAGTTGGAGTCCCAGACCAGGTGGCTTAAACTCACGCCGGGCGCGTGTGTGTGTGCCCAAGATCCCAAGAGGAGAATGAAGGAGAAGGGATTGCAGCGTGGCCATCCCCCCAGGGGATGATTTTTCGCTTTCCATCTCTGTCTTTCTGTGAGCGCACATGCCTTATAGCAAAAACCTCTCCAAAAATTACTACAAAGGGGGGAGGGGGAAACGTTGCTAGGGCCCACCTGTGTTTGCATTTCTAATGCATTCTTAAGTTTGAGAACTATTGAAAATAACGACCCATTCCTGAAAAAAACACATATATGTACATGTCAATCCTACCAGATTCTAAGACCCAGAATTATCTTCATCCTTAGGTTAAGCCCTGACCCAATGGGACCAGATTGTTCAGACAGATAAAGCAAAAATATGGAGAGGGAGACAAATGAAGGTCTGTTACTATCATCTAGATCAGCACCTCTAGAACTTTCACATGCACAAAGGTCATGTGAGGACCTAATATGCAGAATCAGATTTAGTGGGGCTGGGAGTCCCTCCATTTTTCATGTTTCCAGATGATAGTTTTTTCTGGGCTGGGGCCATCCTTGAAAGGCAAGGTCTTTTTTTTATTTTTAAGAATTATTTTATTTAATTTATTTTAATTTGACCAAAGAGGGACAGCATGGGACAGAGAAAATGAGAAGGCAAGCCTCCAGATCCAGGACTCAAACCACAGTCGGCCATGTGGGAGTCCAGCGCCCTTAACCACCACACCACCTGCTGGCCCCAAAAGGCAAGGTCTTAAAGGGTACATAAACTCACAAAAGATTACTACTGCATTAAATTATAAAGCCCATAAACCAACGCTATTAAATAAGTAATGTGGGGCATGTATATAACTTTACATTTTCAAATGGCATTATTTAAAAAGTAAAAAGAGGGGCCAGTAGCTGGCATAGTGGTTACGTTGCTGGACTCCCACATGGCTGACCGTGGTTCAAGTCTCAGATCTGGTGGCTTCAAAAGTCACACGGGTGCATGTGTATGCATGCCCAAGACCCGGGGAGAACAATGGAGGAGAAGGGACTGTGGCATGGCCATCCCACCAAGAGGTGATTTCTTTCTTATTTTCCCTTTCACTGTTTTCTCTCTCTCTGGTACATTCATGTGCTCTAAGGCAAAAAAAAAAAACTCTGTGAAAAAAATAAAAATATAGGACCAGCAAATGGCATAATGATTACATCACTGGACTTCCACATAATCGACCATGGTTTGAGTCCTGACTCGGCAGCTTAAAACTCATGCCGAGTGCGCGTGCGTACATATCCAAACATGTCCAAATACCGAGAGCAGAATGGAGGAGAAGGGGTTGCGGCATGACCATCCTCCCAGGGTATGATTTCTCTCTCTCTCTCTCTCCAGTGAGCGCATGTGCCCTACAGAAAAAATCTCTCTTAAAAAAATAAAAAGTAAAAAGAGGGGGCAGCAGGTGGTCTAGTAGTTAAGATGCTGGACTCCCACATGGCCGACCACAGTTCAAGTCCCAGACCCAATGGTTTGAAAGTAACGCCAGGCACATGTGTGAGTGAGCCCAAAATCCCAAGAAAAGACTGGAGGAGAAGTAATTGTGGCATGGCCATCCTTCCGAGGGGTGATTTCTCCCTTTCACGTCCTGGCAAAAACCTTAAATTTAAAAAGAAAAAAGAAACAGGCAATGGGTTTTAGTTCAGACCCCTGGCCTAAGGGACACTGAGGCAGGACTCCCACCCCAGCTCCAACCCCGGGACCCCCAAGCCAGAGACCCCTATCTCTGTCAGCCAGGTAGGCTTTTTTTTTTCCTTCTGTTTTTCATTTGTAAATTTCTCACTTCTCCTTACACTTTTTTTGAATGCCCTCAGCTCTACAGCCACCCCACTTCCATCTTCAGATTTTTTTTCTTTATCCTCCTTCTTACTTTCTTCCCACTTAGTTGGTCCCTTCTTCCTTTATCTCCACCCTCCCAAACAGCCTAGATAGGTCTAGAATTACAGTTCTGAAATATTCTAGTATTTTAAGACTCTCTGGGATCCTCCCTTTTACTGAACCACTTGATAAAAAAGGAGATACTTTTCTTCAGACACCTGAATAGAATACTCCTCGGATCACATTGCTAAACACAGCAGAAGAGAGACTTCGGCAGTCTCCAGTCCACAGCAAAAGGGAAACACACTTGCTCCTATTCGAGGAAACGTTCTCTTAAAAG